AAAAAATAACCTAATTTATACACATATCTATTGAGCATCTTATAGACTTATACTTCTTATTATGCATGCCTAAACCACATATCCACATAAACATAAGTCTAACAAAAAGAGATCTAAATATTACATAAATAAAAAGTCCTATCATTTTCATTTTCTTACACTATCAATGACAAACACTCAATTAAATGACATTGAAAATTGTATACAAAATTTTTTTGTATCATAGAAGATCAAAACATTCTTTGTGCATATTCATATTACATGTAGTACACCTCTCATACTAAAATTTTTAGCATTAATTTATACACATATTACATAAATAAAAAAGTCCTATCATTTTCATTTTCTTACACTATCAATGACAAACACTCAATTAAATGACATTGAAAATTGTATACAAAATTTTTTTGTATCATAGAAGATCAAAACATTCTTTGTGCATATTCATATTACATATAGTACACCTCTCATACTAAAATTTTTAGCATTAATTTATACACATATCTATTGATCATCTCATACTTTTTATTATGCATGCCTAAACCACATGTCCACATAAACATAAGTCTAACAAAAAAGATCTAAATATTACATAAATAAAAAAGTCCTATTATTTTCATTTTCTTACACTATCAATGACAAACATTCAATCAAATGACATTGAAAATTGTATGTATAAAACAAAGCAAGATTGCATAAAATTTAAAAGAAAAAAAATTCGCCAAAAATGAATGAAAACCAAAGGAAGATGTCGATAAATGTGATGGTATAACAATATCATGTTCATGTGATGGTATAAATTCTTTTAGCTTTCTGGTGTGAATCAATTCTTCGAGATTTTAGAGAAATGAATAATCATCTATATCATGTTCATTATCTTTATGGAATACATAACACTTCAATGGATCTCTAGCATCTGCTTCTTCCCTAATTGGCATTGCTTGTAATAAATACTCTTTATTGTGAATCACATACATGATTTCAACAAGAGAAACACAAAGAGGTGTGAATGATGGATATTGATGAAATGACAATGACATCTCGCACATGACAGCACCACAGTTCCTTTGATTTTGATATCACCTCCCGAGGCAATCATCTTAATTATGCAATCCTTGCTGATAATGGTAATATTGTTGATGTCGCAGCTTCATCCGATTTTTTTCCAATTATTTCAAAGCCAACTTCATTAACTCGAGTAAGTCACCATGAATTCCCCGCTGAACCAGAGTCATGTGGCCTAGATGATAAAGCAATAGATATCTGGTTGCACTCCTCCAAATGTAAATTATAGTTGGTAATTTCCAACAACTCGATCAATATTTTTAGTTGCTTCCGCCAACGTTGGTTTTAAGCCTTCCAATTTTAACATCTCGCATTGAAATAGGATAAAGAAGCTATTTAGTGACTCGCCCTGTCCTTGGTTTCATATTCAAAAGAGCTTGAGCACTCTTCACAGTTTATAGGCACCAACATATTAATTCACAATGTCCTTCTTAAACTAATAATAAAAGGTAATACTTCCAAATGGAAGGAGTAAGAAACATCTTAATAGTACCTCTTTGAAGTTTGTCAAAAATAATTAGCAATTAAGCATTATCATTAATAAGTGGTTAGATCGATGTAGGTGGGAAGGTCAACGGGATTCAACTTCCCTCTATACAAATCTAGGCTAGAGATTCAAAGGAGATTTTGCCTCCACATTATCTATAAAGAAGGCATTCAATAACTAAGGTCAAGTATGCAATGCTTAATTCATTTGGACTTGCACAACTTAAGATTAGAATAATTCAAGAATAAAGCTACGAGCAAATTCAAACAACGAAATAAAATATTCAGTAGTTATCCAATTAGGCTTAAATCACATGATGAGAGTTTGAAGCTTCCAAAATAAATAGAAAATAACACAACACATAGTAGTTTCAAATTAATCCCTAATCTAACAATGAGAATTAGGATGCATTGAAAGTGCGCTCAAATCCTACGATTACTAAGCTTAAGCAAGAGCAGTTGAAAGAACCCGTCGTGACTGCAATCAAACCAATGAGAATTTAGACTAAAAGGAATAAGACGCAAGGGAAAAGAGAAACCTTCATTAGGGAGAGGTGGAGATCCTCCATTTGACGCCTTCGAAGTGTTCGTCAATGGCTTCTGTCAAAGCAAATAAGATGCGCTCCACGTAGTCTTCGACAGTGTGGTCAATCTCCGGATTCACGTCGAAGAAGGTGGATCGTAGGATGTCGGTGAAGCCGTCTTAGTCCCAAGTGATGCCGTATTCAGTCTCCGGATCCGTCATTCATGGATGGTTGAAAGAAGAACCACCTTAATCTTTGGTACACCTCTCAAACGATAGCAAGAGAAAGAAGTTTCTCTTACAATCTTGTAGAGAAAAGAGCCCAAATCAAAACTTGAAATAAGTTTCTGGTTTTGCTAATAATGGGGAGGGAATTTGGAAAGAAAAAAAAAATCAAGACAAGGGCTTGAGAGAATTTCGGCCAGCAGCAGAGAGGGTTGGGCAGTCTTTCCAAAGTGATTGGCTGCACTTGTGGAAAGTTTTCAAAGCCCAGCAATGAGGAGAAGGGGCCGGCGGGATAAGGAAGTAGAGGTGGAATAGTTTCCTAATTCCAATGCCAGATTTTAAGGAAGTATTCAATGCTTGGCTCCTTTGAAATATTCGGCTGTTATAGTCTTGGGAATACTTCTAAAAAAAGGGGAAAGGTGATTAGGAAATATTTCCTAATCTAAGCCACAGGGAAGGCGACTGACTGCATTAGGGGACCAAGGAGCAGTTAATGTGATGAATTAAGGCCACTAGATTTGAAATTTGGAATTAGGAAAGTGGGGTAATAAATCCAATTTGAATTTAAAATTCAAATTGATTGAAATTAAGCACTTTCATAAAATAGGTGAACTAAATTAAGAAAGAAAATTTGAATTTCAAATTAATAAGATTTGAATTCAAACTCATCCAAATTCGTCCCAACCCAAATTAGGGAGGAGGATGGCAAAGGGGAAGGGGAGACTCACGGGTTGGATGTGGGAGGGGGCCGGCGGGTGAGGGAGTTGGCTGTGGGCTTGGAGAGGGAGGATGGGGCTTTGGATGGGGTGAGAACCGGCGGCGAGGGTGGAGGGAGAGGCAAGGGAATAAAGAAAAGGATTGAACCACGAACCCGACTTATCTAGGTTGGTGGGTAGTGCGCAAATCTCCCTCTCTTAGGGATCTCTCCAAGGTTCTCTCCAAGCTCTCTCAATGCTCTCAAACACAAGTGCAGGAAAATTTTATTATAATCATTTATTAATCAAAATAGAACAAAGTGGGGCTTTAAATAGCCTCATACAAATGACTCAAAACAAAAGACAAAAATGTCCTTTGGGTTTACATACGATAACTCCCATAAGAGGGGTACAACGGGAAATAATAAAGCACACCTAAGCAAATAACAAAATACATGAATAATAAAATACACCAATGACTTAGAAATATAAAGACTCGATCGTGGCCGTAGATCGGCGGCTACGTTTCAGATAAACTTTTCATGATGATCTGATGTCCCCATCGAGACTTCATGACACAATGAGAAAAAGAAGTATGGGCAATACCTTTTGCAAAGAGATAGGTCCGTCACTTTTCAAAGTAGAGGCGAGTGCTTAGAAACTCAATTTTCACTTATGTAGAAAAGATTCATAAGACCCTTTCACTAGAGGAATTCAATGCAAGGTTTGGTTCTAAGCAATGGCTCGCGAATTCTTTAGATCATACTCATGAAGAAGAAGATTAATACTAACAATTATTACTAAAGATGATGAATACAACAATATGTCGGGCAGCCGGGGGTCCAAGGAGGTGCTGCCCCCTGGCGTGTTTGACCTACCCAATCAGGTCGCGAGTTCAAGGGGCAGCGTCCATGTGGGGGTTTTCGAGGGCAGTGCCCCCCCAGAACAAATTTTTATTATAAGAGTAATTTTAAAGTTATGCTTATTTTTAAAGTTCGTAAGTCGTTTGTGTGAAAAGATACCGAGCGGCACCGAGCATGTACCTAGCGGTACCGAGCATGTACCGAGCAATACCGAGCATGTACCGAGAGGTACCGAGCATGTATCTAGCAGTACCGAACGATACCGAGCATGTACCTAGCAGTACCGAGCATGTACCTAGTGGTACCAAGCATTGTTGTACTGAGCGGTTAGACTTTTTTTAATTTTCAGAGGCGGACGCCTCTAAAACATGAGGCGAGGCGCGCCCTCAGTGAACTTGAGGCGCAAGCCTCAATGCCAACTCTCATTGCATAGGCTTTGTGGCTTGAAAGTTTAAAATTGCGCTGAGGCGCGCCTCTTATTGTGCAATTTTAAACCATGGATACATCCTCTAACCCTCTATTTATAGGTTTAGATCAAAGTTCATTATTACATAAATAGATATATTTGAATAATTCAAATAAAATTACATAGCAAACTTAACAATGCTTGTTGTAAGAATGCCCAAGTCTTTACAATTGACAATTATCCTAGTACTTTAGTAACCCTTGAGTACCAAGCTGAGAATGAGATTATTTAAGGTTAAATTTCTTTTATTAAACTTCAGAGAGTTCGATAGTGAGTTGCCTTGGTGAGATCAATAGCGAGTTTGAAAGCAAGTTATACTAGTGAGTTCATTCTTACTAGATGAGTAGCTTAACGTGACTTGACAACTTCAGATGATAAGTTTTTTAAGCAAGCAGATCATTTTTTTTCTAGCAAATTCGGCTTAGAGACTAGTACAAATTTGGGCAACTTCGTTTGAAGACTAGCGACTTCCTGAACCTGGATGATGGTGGCAATATGACTTGTTTAACTAGACCCATGTGATATTGGAGTACAAAGGACAACTAAAAAAGGTCAAAAAGAATACATCTAATAGTTTTTCATAACTCTCCATAAAGCAAATGAACATCTAGCAACTAAAATCTTGAAAACAATTTAAATTTTGCAAATAAAATATCAATTACAGCATTTAATTTTACCTGAAATCCTTTATATTTGATCAGCTCTTTAATGCGATCAACAACAAAAAGCTGACCCTTTTCATCAAAATATCCAAGATCGCCTGTGTGCAACCACCCTTCACTGTCCAAAGTTAATTTAGTAGCCTCTGGATTATTAAAATAGCCTGGAGAAATTTTGAAGTTGGAAAATAACAACTTCAGAACTACATTATTAAACAAAAGAATAGCAATAAATCTTTATTCTAAGATAAAGTTTTCACATGGTGATGGATTTTTTTTGGGGGAAAATTTAGGCAAATTAAGGCTAACTCACATACATCACATGCGTAAGCTTCAAATGCAAGACCTTTTAGGCTTCGTTCGGGACGGCTTTCTTCTTGCTTTCTAAAACAGCTTTTCAGTACAAAAAATTACTAAAAAACTATTTTAAAAAGCAGTATGATAGCTGTCCCAAACAAAGCCTTAGTTGATCAAAACTCTCAAAGGGAGCAAAGTGAGCTGTGTGGCATGAATATTTTCACATGCCAACCAAAAGAAAAAGCAATAAAGACTACACGACGTTGACATCCTGACTTTTGTGCCAGCTATTGACGTAGTCATATGGTTTACATTTTTATAGTTATCGGATAGAGATTGTACAAATTTGACAAAGTGCATATCTCGGAAAAAAAAAACTTGAATGAAGAAACTTTTTATCATAATGAAGCTGCTAAATTAATTTTTGAGATAAATATAATATAAATTTAAATTAATTACATACATATCACATGAAGCACAAAATAAATCCATTAATCAAGAATACTTCAACCAATTTTTTTCCGCATGAAGCAATATTTACCTTGCATTATATTAGGTCCACGAAAGCATAACTCTCCTTGCTGGTTGGGAGGAAGAGGCTTTTGAGTGTCGACGCAAATAACTTTGCCGTCAATTCCCACCGTAAGAAATCCAGTTGAACCATAAACGCGATCCTTTCCTTGAGGGTACTCTAATGAAATAATTCCGCATGATTCGGTCAAGCCATATCCCTGTGTATAAAACAAGAATGATAATACAATGGTGAACTTTTCTAAATTCTAATAGTCAAATTCGAAGAAGTATTTTTTTATTTCTTGTTAGGATCCAAACCAGACTTCCATTAGAGATAAAACCAATTCTTACAAGCTACTCAAATTTCACAAACAGGAAGATGAAAATCAAGGTTCCCTCAACTAGTTCTGTCTAATAGAAACAATATTGCCCAACTTAAGAACGCTATTTGAGATATTTTGTAAATAAGAGAGGAAAAGGATCCTCCCTCTATGCAAAGAGTTACGTAAAATCGAACATAGCAAAGGCAAAAGACATTCCAGGCACATTTATCCGTACAATCAGAAAGCAAATGCACCAATTTCCACTGCAATAAGAATCAAACCTGAACAAGCTGCACAGTTGGAAAGCTCTTAGCCACCTCCTCCATCACATCCTTTCCCAAAGGCGCCGCTCCTGAGCCAATAAGCTTCAACGAGCTCAAATCGTACTTAGCTGCTTTGGCCTGCTTCGCTAAGGCAATCATAACTGGCGGGACAACGAAAGTATAGGTCACCCTATACTTCTCGATTGATCTCAGCATTGCCTCCATCTCGAACCTCGCCATCAATACTAAGCTATTCCCTCTCTGCAACTGCGAATAAGTAATCACCGACAACCCAAATATATGGAACAAGGGAAGGAAGCAAAGAAAAGTGTTAGGTGGCTCGCCCAACAGATCCTGATCGCCGGAAGCCATCACAGAGGTGCAAATGAAGTTCCGATGAGTCAGCACAACCCCTTTGTTTGCCCCCGTCGTGCCGGACGAGTAGAGCAACCCGGCGATGTCCGATTGCCTGATCTCCGGCTCAAAGAACTCCGTCTCTGGAACAGATATAAGATCGGAGAAATAGTGGATTGGCGCATCAGATGTGGCGATTTCGGAGGGAAGTTTCGTGCCGAAGAAGATGGTGGGGAGATGAAGAGATTTGACCTTGTCCCAGAGCTGGGGGACGGTGAAGACGAACTTGGCGCCGGAGTCTTTGGCTTGTTTGGTGAGCTCGGAGACGGTGTAGAGAGGATTTACCGTGGTGGCGATGGCGCCAGATGCGACGACAGCGAAGAAAGTGACGGCGAAGTGGATGGAGTTGGGAGCGAAGATGAGTATCACTGAGCCTTTTGAGATGCCGATGCGTTGGAGTCCAGCGGCGGCAGAAAAGACGGTGGAGCGGAGCTGGGCGAAGGTCAGGGTTTCTCCGGAGTCGGCGTCGGCGATGGCGAGGCGTTCAGGATAAGATGCAGCGTTCCGGAACAGGAAGGTGGTCATGGAAAGGGATGGATTTGTGGGGAAGGATACTGGCGGGCGTGGTGAGCGATAGACGCCGTCAGTGTTGTAACATGTGCTAGAGAAAGCCATGAGAGCTACTGAAAAAGAGATCGTTGAAGATGGCTGATGCAGTATAAAACGATGCAGAGGGTCTCTCTCCTCCTCCTCCTGACTCCTCTGTCGAAACTCCCGGACGTGCGGGACGGCAAATGCCTCGTTTGTCGTTTGGGAAAGCTTAATTACCGCCTTTTCTCTTTGGAAACGTCAAAAACTAATTTTTGCGGCTACAGGCGTTCGAACGCTATATATGATGCGTAATATATTAGTTTTCTTGCTTTGGCGATGTATGGCTGTAATTGAAAATTTTGATTGATTTTATATATCATATAATGCCGACAATTTGAATAAATATATCTTTATTTGAAAATAGCTTTGAATTAATGCATTTTTTATGAAAATGTTCTTTTTTTAACCTATCATATTAATGCAAATATTTGAATAAGAATATGATGAAAATAAAATATATTTTGCAAAATGGCTGAAATACTAAAAACATAAATTTTAAAAGAAAAAGAATATGCACGCCAAATATAAAATATAGAATTATGGAGGGCCAATAAAATGTACTTGAATTCATCTTAAATAAATAACTCTTCACACTACTTTGTATGATTTGTTGCAAGGCTATGCAACATATTTCCAAGAGTATGATTAATGACCTTCATTAAATCATCTATTTGAGGGTGGTAGGCTTAGCGAAGTTGAATGTTTATTACTCAGTATTTTCCACAATTTTTGCCAAAAATAATTAATAAAATTGGTTTCTCGATTCAACGAAATGCTATTTGGATGCGTATGTAATCTAATAACTTCGCGAAATAACAATATAGTATTATTGACTGCATCAAAAGTTATTTTTACAAGCAATAAAATATGACATTTCTTAGAACGTGTCCACAACAACAAGAATGGAATAGGCTCCTCATTTTGCATGACGTCATCTAAGTATAAAATATATACTAACATCTTCCCAAATAGAGTTAGGATTCCACAATATGTATAGCCCTACTTTTTGTGACGTGGCTTTACATTACTAGCAAATGAGTATAACATGGATCAAAAGATTCGAGTTTGTAGATGGAACAACATGTTATCCTTACAAGGGTGAGTAGTGAGGCCCCTGACATAAGCATCAAGGATGGGTTGTTCTTGGATAGAGGATTGAGGTATGCATAATTGATTTTCTTTAAAAATAAATCCATAATGATAGAAAAAACCTGATTTAGGAGAGTGTGACTTACATTTATTTTTGGCATTACTATGGTCTTGATTGATTAGATATAGGTTTTTAAGGTATTCAACTCTAGCGATAATATTTTGGAGTGTGACCAACAAAGTTGGGCTGTTGGCTTAAAGCATTGGCAACTCAATTTTGATGCCATGTCTTATACTTAAACTTGAAACTGAACTTTAAGAATAGAACCAGCATGGCATATGTGAAACCCCTTTAGTAAAATACGCTAAACTCTTAAACATCGAGACTCTTTTTGGTGTAATCATTGAAATTCATTAAGAAACTTCATAGTTAAGTGTGCTCTTCTCAGAGAAATCCTGTGATGGGTAACCTCCTTGGAAGTTACATGAACATGATTAAATTGTGAGGTCGTTTGGCCAAAATAGACAATATCTCGATAATTAATCATTTGGGCTATTACAAATGATATCATAGCAATACACTAGTTGGAAGATGAGAACTAAGTGTCATACAATATAAAAAAAACTATGCCATGTGAGCCATCTCTTGAATCATGTATGAGAAAAAAATGCTACATTAGTGGGAGTCACCATTTGAACGTGTGGTAGCCACCTCTAGAAGCATATATGCATTGTGGATGATTCTGGAATAAAGATACTTACGTGGACATTAGTTACTTAATTGTGGGAAACTGTGAAATCCTTTAAGTAAAAGAAGATAAACTCTTAAAGATCGAGATACATTTTGGTGTAATGGTTTGAATTTCATTAAGAAATTTCATAGTGGAGCGTGCTCATCTAAGAAAAATTTTGGGATGTGTGAGCTCCAAAGAAGTTACACCAATAAGATAAAATCTTGAAGCTCTTAGGCTAAAGCGGACAATACGTCAATAGTTAAGAGTTTGGGATATTATAACATGTGTCCAACTAAGGCTCTTCTATGAGTTTTATAGTGTTTGATAGTCATTGGATAAATGAAATCTTGATGTGGAATATAATGTTCCCATTGTTTAAGTACGTGAATGCAATTCTTTTTCATAAACATCCTACTTTTGAAGAGGCGCACTTAGCTTTTTTTATGAAAAATTCAATGTGTTTTCCTTCCTATGATAAAATGGTTCCAACACCTTTAGTTGATGTGCATGTCTCCACTTGAAATGGCTTTTCAAAGTTGGAAACAACCAACATACGAGTTGAACATTGTTTGTCTTGAATAAGTGTTGGTCCCTTTGATGTGAAAAGGATTTAAGCTTTAAACAATCTATAATGGGAGCAATAATTGAATGGAACCCCTCAATCAACCAATAATAAAAGTTCATCAAGCCATAAAAACTTTGCACTTTGGTGAATCAACCTTTTACGGATCAACTTATATACCATCAGCATTAATTACAAAACATAGAAATGCATAGAGGTGGTTGCCAACTTCCACTTTGGAAGATTTAAGTAGAGTCGTTGTTCCCAAAGAGTTGATGATATTATCTCTCTGTATTTAATGTGATCATATAAATATGTGCTAGAAGCCAAAATGTCGCCAAAATGAAAAAGAACAAAAAAAATAAGTAAATGAATTATTTAAGTACCTCATATATGAGCCACATAAATGTGATTGGACAATGCAAGCCCAAACATCACAACCTTCCACTCATATAATCCTTCTTAGGTTTTAATCATTATGTTTCGCTCATCTCCATGCCATATATGGAGTTGATGTTAACCACTTCTTAAATCTAATTTTGAAAATTTAGTTGCATCTTCCAATTAGTCTAGCAAATCCTCCAATAGTGGTATAGGAAAGTGGAATTTGATATTTGCCTTGTTATTTGCAAGGCTAGCCGCACACATCCACCATGAGGCATCATTTTTCGGAACCAAAAATGCGTAGAAGGCATAAGTGTTGAGACTATGCAATATCAAAATTTTGTGTAATAGATCACCAAATATATATTGCATTATATGGTGCTCATTTGGGCCCATCTTCTAATGAGGATGACTAGGTAGGACTGATCTGGGTGTGAGGTCAATTTGGTGTTAAATAATATGTAATAGAGATAGTTTAGATAGACGTTGTATTGAGCAAATGTCTGCAAATTGTTGCAACATATTTTGTATGTAGATTTGAGCTTCAGTAATAGCCATTTGGCTAAGTAGGGCATTTTAAAACACTTTAATAGTTGTCATTATATGATACCCATAAATAATTTTAAAGACTGAAAAAAAAAAATATTTATTTCCATTAGCCTTAGGCATTGTAGTTAATAGTGATAGCCAAATCTTTTTTTCGTTTCCAATCAAATGAGTTAGAATTAGCCCAACAACATATGTAGTACCCACATAAAATTTTCACATGTGGCTAAGGATAATCTGACAAACATCCATATTGAGCATGTCGCAAAGGACTTCACAACAAAAATATTTATCAATGGAGAATGTTATTTGACATGTTTAAAAAACTAAAATACCCTTGCATTTTCAAACCTTACTAGTTTAATATGGGTGTGGATGCTCATTAGTGCTTTAATTTAAGGCCTTAATCACAAAATTAGAAATCACATTCTTTGTTTAGCCAATACTTATTAGTAGTTCATAAACATTCCCTTTAATGGTACCACACGTCGTTGAAAAAAAAAAATAAGTAAATGAATTATTTAAGTACCTCATATATGAGCCACATAAATGTGATTGAAAGCCCAAACATCACAACCTTCCACTCATATAAACCTTCATGGGTCTTAATCATTATGTTCCACTCATCTCTAGGCCATATACGGAGTTGATGTTAACCACTTCTTAAGTCTAATTTTAAAAATTTAGTTGCATCTTCCAATTAGTCTAGCAAATCCTCCACTAGTGGTATAAGAAATTAGAATTTGATGGTTGCTTTGTTAATTGCATGGCAATCCGTGCACATCCACCATGAGGCATCATTTTTGGGAACAAAAAATGTGTATAAGGCATAAGGGTTGAGACTATGCTACATCAATTTTTTGTTTAATAGATCACCAACTATATATTGCAGTATATGGTGTTCATTTGGGCCCATCTTCTAATGAAGATGATTAGGTAGGATTGATCTGGGTGTGAAGTCAATTTGGTGTTGACTAATTTATAATTGAGATAGTTTAGACATAATTTTTATTGAGCAAATGTCTGCAAATTGCTGCAACATATTTTGTATGTAGATTTGAGCATCACTAGTAGCCATTTGGCTAGGTAGGGCATTTTCAAACACTTTAATTGTTGTCATTATATGAGACCCATAAATAATTTTAAAGGTTGAAAAAATATTTATTTCCATTGGCTTAGGCATTGTCGTTAATGGCAATAGCAAAATCTTTTATCATTTCCAATCAAATGAGTTAGAATTAGCCTAACAACATATGTTGCACCCACATCAAATTTCCACAGGTGGCCAAGGATAACCTGACAAACATCCATGTCGAGCATGTCACAAAGAACTTCACAACAAAAATACTTATCAATGGAGAATGTTACTTGACATGTTTCAAAAACTAAAATCTCCTCGCCTTTTCAAACCTTATTAGTTTAATATGGGTGTGGATGCTTAGTAGTGCTTAAATTTAAGGTCTTAATCACAACATTAGAAATCACATTCTTTGCTTAGCAAATACTCATTAGTTAATCCCTTTGGTGGCTTAAGTGTTGGTTTTGTATTCATTACCATTGACACTATAAGTGCAACTATAGGATATACTGTAAGAGCTTAGATTCAATTACATTTTAGCTTTATATACAAAATTGATTACTTGAGATAGTGCCTAAATCAAATTTGTTTATAATTTATCTTGAATAGTTTCCTTTAAGCTCTCAATATAAAGAGCCACTAGCAAATTACTAGTTTCATTTAAGTTGTTCATGGAACTTAATCTATAAATTTCTTCCGTATACTCGCAAATAATATTGCATGATCCTTGTAAATCATGTTGAGATCATAAACAAAGAATTTGCTAAAAAAATTACATAAGAGAAACGCTTTCTTAATAATTGCTT